TGCGGTCACGCTGGCTCAGCTTCACCTGGTGGTGCAGGCAACGCGATACGCCACCATCCGATACGATACGACACCATGACACATGGCACGCACACATGCGGAGAGAGGTGAGGTCGATGAACCACACGGTTGTTACCAGTGAATGATGGATCTCCCTCCAGGAGGGCGACGTACTGCTTTGGCCTGGTAGACCCACTCCCACGTTTTGTTGAGGGTGAGGTGCAGCTTGTTGTGGATGGTCGCCTCCCCAAAGTCCCGATAGCACGCCGCGCGCCACAGCGCCGGCTCTTTCCTGCATAACCGTCCCGCCATTTAGATAGAACGAAGCGAAAGAGAGAAGAGAAAGCGGAAACAAAGAACGAAGTCGCACGAGAGGTTGAGGAAGAGCCTGCAGACCGGACGAAGGGCGCACAGGTCGCGCGGGCTGAGGAAGGAGAACAGGTGGAGGAGCACCTCGGTCGATAAAATACAGAACACGCCCAATGACGCCGGATAAGGCGTGGGCGCGTGTCTCTGCACACACGACACACACGCATACACACGCACACACACGAACGCACACACACACGACACAAATACACACACACACGACACGACACACACAATACAACAACGATGTGCGTTGCGCGCGGCGGTGAGGTGCATGTGTTGGCGAGGGCTGACGCGAAAGAGAGAGAGAGGCAGGCGGGTCAGCAGCAGCACCTTGGCGAAGGCGATGAGAGAGAAGGAGTGGTGCATGATGCGTTCCACCGAAGAGACGGCGGCGGGCGACAGCGTGCCGTCGGCCGACTGCACGAACGACTGCAGCAGCTCCATCGCCAACTGGTACGCGATCGTCCGCGGGTCCTCTGGAATATACACAGATCTTGGCCTTCAATAAACCACGCTAATAAACGATAAATAGGAAAAACAACACAACGATAAATAATAATAAAATAATAATAATAACAATGAATTATAGGCACCTGCTACGTCCGTGCGGCGGCGTTTAGCGACGAAGGAGGAAGTGGGCGTGGCAGGTGGCGAAAGCGGGGGTGGAGTCACTGTTGCATCTTCGTTGTGTGGCTCCTGCTCGTCGTCGTCCTCCTCTCGCCCGCGCTTATGGCCCCCAAGACTCGACATGGGGGGTGGGGTTGGTGGGTTTACTATTCGTCTACGCGCCAGGAGAGGAAGGTGCGGAGAACACACGAGTGAACCTTTTTGCATTCATGAATAAATAAATAAAGGCCACCGAAACGTGGAACGTTTTGTTGTCGGCTGCTCCACATCGTTGTGCGCAACGACATACAAGTCGCTCCCTTCGCGACGCCATCCCCGCTGGAGGCTTCCCTTTGGCGCGGTGCAGATGAGATCGCGTGGCGGCGTCACCGGTGGATGGTCGACGTCCAGCGGTTGCTGGTCGTCCACGTGCGCGCTCACTTGACAACACCGACACACCCGCACACCTCAACAGGCCACAGGTGCATCCACCAGCCACCACCAGCCATCACCACATGGGCAGCGAGTGTCGCCTCGGCCGTTCGTTCGCATCCTCTTCGCTAGGCCCTCGTGACGCCCAGAGGCCGCTCATGGCATACTGCTCCTCATCATCCATCTGGTAGGCCACACCAGCACTCAGGTCCAACCTGCCTCACGGCCATTTTATTCAATAAACACATTTTATTTTCACATCCACCCTATATATCACTTGGGTGAGTGGGGGAGAGGGGGCAGGTGGGTGCGGAGCCGGCGGGCGAGAGAAGAGTAGACGCCCTCGATCTCCTCGCGGTAGATGTCGTCCAGCTCCTTCTTGCGTGCTTCCCCGGCCTCGAACCCGGCCAGCCAGTCCTGGTACTTCTTGTGCAGTCGTCGCTTGACAGACAGCCGGAACCGCGTGACGACCTGCTCGTCGCACCGGTCCAGGTGCACGTAGCGCAGGACCTCGTGCAGGTGTTCGATCTGACTCTGTAGTGTTGTGTGTCGCGTCGTGTCGTTGGTCGTGTCGTGTGTTGATGATAGGTTAGTTAGCCCGATTGACCGGAGGTGGTGCGGGGTTTGAGGGGGGGCAAGCGGGTGGGCACCTTGGCCAGCTTGAATCGGCTCTGCACCGCTCGCAGCTGCTCGGGGTCGATCTTGTCGCCCGGCACGCCCTTGAGGAAGCCACTCTCGAGACACAGACGAAGATCAGTGATGTCCTGCAGGCCCATCACCACCATCACCATCACCATCATCACGCCAAATGAACATCGCATATCAGCTTTGGCGAGCGGCGCGGGCCTGGCGGTGCAACGACGAGGTGGCGAAGCGAAAAAGAACAAAGAGGAGCGAGGAGGAGGAGGAGGAAGAAGAAGATCATGGCCTGCCTACCCGTAGGAGCTTGAACTCGGGAGAGGGGTCTTCCACGGTGATGTCTCGGACGCTTTCGTACAGACCCGTTCGCCCCCATGCTTCTCTGTAGATCGCCCGCAAGAGTTGCTCTGCCCAACCACATAGGTCAGTCGGCACCGCGGTGGTGGGGGGGAGAGAGAAGGGAATTGCTCAAAGTACCTCCGTGGCCTTGTTTCTGGAATGGCGGCAGGATGAGGAATTGACTGCTCAGAGATGGGGGGGGGAGGAGAGAGAGATCAATCACGGTGGTGGTGGTGGAGGTGGTGAGACAACGAACTACTGGTCTAGGCGCCATTTCGTTTCGAATGAGTGTGGGTGGGTGAAGGGAACGGGAACCTGATTCGGAGCCTCCGCTGGTCTGGGAACGAGAAGAAGGGGTACACCGTGGCGTAGCCCACGATGCTGTATCGTGTCTCTCCGAACGTGCGCCGTTTCTCAAAACTGCAGTCCGGGAGGGGGGAGTGGGTGAGATGAGAGCGGTATGTGCGTCGTGTGTCGTGTCATCTTGTGTCGTGTGTGTCGAAAAGGCTTTGCACGTACATGAAGTAGAGTTCCCAATCGAGGTCGGTATCGTCGATGTAGGAGGAGCGATCAATGAACCATATCAGGAAGAGCTGTATGCGTGTGGGTGGGGGGGGGTGAAGAACGGTGAGCCAGGCTAGGCAGGGCTTGTGGAGGGGCAAAGAGGCCCCGCCGCCGGGCGCCGGGCGGCACGAACCTGGATCCGTTCGTGGTACTGGCGGAGGTCCTCCATGGCGAAGGAGCCCTTCCGGATCTCGTACTCGACGGTGGTCCCGTCGTCTGTCGCGCTCGTACCACTCCCACCGCTACTCTCCACCGTGTAGGAGTGGATCTTGTCGCCCGGGGGCTCGAACGGCCTGCCCACCTCCTGTGCGCGCCGCCGCCGCTGCCACGTGAGAAGAGGAAGAGGAAGAGGCGGGTGCAGAAGCGAGTAGCGTACGCGAGCAAAGTCATCGAAGGAGGAGGCGACGCCGGAGGGAGGGAGCCACTTGGCGAGGAGACCCGGCACGTCGGTGATGACCTGCTGCTCCTCCCCGCGAGCCAGGGGCGTGCGGAAACGCTTCTCGTCGTAGTCGAAGCGCAGGAAGGCCAGCAGGGAGTCGGCGGTGTAGAGCACCGACACCCGCGGGCGCTTGTAGCCGCGGATGAGCTGGTTCTCGAACACCTGATGCGTCAGGGTCGGCCCAAACACGCCCCACTCGCCCGCCTGCCCGCCACTGTCTGCACTACTAGTACAACTCGTAGTCGTTGGGAGGTCGCTTTCTTGGCGTACTGTGGTAGCCCCCCCCCACGAGCGCGACCGGTCAGCACCCTGCCACGTCGATTTGCCGTGGAGACTGTTTTTGAGGGATTGGGGGGGAGGGGGGGGCGTACCGAGCTTGAACGTGATGACGTCGTTCGCCTTGCAGTCCCACTCACCAAGAGCGGCAGGCTGGTCCACGTCTGTTGGGTTTTGGGCCGAATCTGCGGCAGAAGAAAGGGGGACGTCCATCTTCCAAGCGCGGTTGATGTTTGATCTCCTCCACACGTTTTCCCGCCTTTTTGTTTTCGCGCTTTAATTTTCTTTTCCTTCTGCATTTCCTCTCTTCTGCGGTGCATTTTCCCTGTTTCTGTCTTTTTTATTCTTTTCTTTTTGTTTGGCATTGTTGAAGATGGACGGAGTGAGCGCGCAAACGACGTCGGTGCCCGCCTCGCTGAAGGTGAGCTACAAGTGCGATGCCCTGGCATACCACCCTCAGTCTCGTCTGCTGGCCATCTCCTCTTCCAACCTTACCGGCGCGACCTGGTCCGGACTTATCACGTTGGCCGCTTTGAGCGACACCTACGCGCCAACCAAGCCCCCCACTACACTGGACACCGGTATCGCCCTTCAGTCCCGGCTTCTCCTTCTGCCCTTCCCCATCGCCCCCAACAATTACTTCATCTCCATTTAGTGGTAGTTTTAATTTGTTCGATTTATTCTACGTTCTTCCATCAATCCTTGTTTAAATTCGGGACCAACCGTTGCATTTGAGGATCATGAGGATTGACCAGGCGCGTTGGTGTTGTGGTTGACCAGACGCGGGCAACGCCGATGTGACTTTTGCGGGCGAGAAGGGAGAGTTCGTCGCTGCCGGCAGCGACGAAGGCAGCGTGCTCCTGTGGCACACGGACAAGCCGGCCAAGGAGGGCACCGACATCGCCCTCGGCGAGCACGATGACATCGTGTCCGCCGTCGCCGCCCACCAGTCCCACCTCCTCTCCGCCAGCTGGGACCACAAGTACGCCCCTACTTCTACTTCTACGCCACGCAGCCCTCCCTCTCCTCTACGTACGCTTGACCATCTCACCTCACCTCACCTCACACGTCTCTCTACTCAGGATCAAGCTCTGGGACGTCACCAAGGGCAACTCGCTCGCCACGTTCGAAGGTACCACGTCACTCTCATTCGCCACTAACCCACTCGCTCACTGCGTCTCATTGAAATCGGCCTCCTCTTTTCTACCCACAGCCCACATCGGCGCGGTCAACACGGTCGAGTTCATCAACGCCGCTCTGTTCGTCTCCGGCGCTCAGGTGCGTGTGTAGCCCCTCGTCATGGCACGACAAAATGGCCCTCTCGCCGCCTCCGCCTTCTTAAGAGGTTGCTCCTTCCCTCCCCCGCCCGCCCCACCCAACACGACGCAGGACAAAACGGTGCGCGTGTGGGACAAGCGACAAGCGGTCGTGGCCAGCACCCTGCAGCGGGCCTACAACATCTGCTCCGTCTCGGCCTCGCGCCACGACGACAACCTCTTTGCCGTCGGCCAGGAGGACGGGTGCGCGACTCTCCCCCTCTCCCTCACTCACTCATTCATTCACTCACCTGCTGCGTCCGCCTCCAGATCGGCGTGCGTGTTCGACCGGCGCAACCTGGCGGCTGCCCTCTTCTGCCACACCACTGGCGACAGGTAATCCCCCCCCCTTCCACCGCCATCCCTCCCCACCTCCTCTCGTTGTTGTTGTTGTTAGATCTTCCGGTTGGATTGGCCCGTCGCCCTCTCTGACTCCCTCTCCTACCCACCCAGCGTGCGGGCGGTCCGCTTCTCGCCGCACACGGCGGGGCACTTGGCGGTGGCGTCGGACGACACCACCCTCTCCGTGCTAGACACCACCACCCAAAAGACCATGTGCGCCCCCCCCCAACGCTCTCCTTGCATGACCCACACGGCGTGTGTGGCCCTCACACCGCGCAATCGTTGTGCGTGTGTGTGTGTGTGCGTGTGCGGACAGTTATTCTTTCGCGGGGCACACGGACTACGTGCGAGGTGTGGCGTGGGATCCCCTCCAGCCCCACGCGCTCGCCTCCGGCGGCTGGGACGGTCTGGTCTACTTCCACGCCTTCTCCGCTTGAACCCAAGCACTGGCTGGGCGCTGTCTGATTGGCTGGCCGATGATAAAATTGAAAGGTGTTGGGCGGCAACGTGGGCACAAAACGGCACAACTTTGTCTTCTCCATCTTTCTGATTCGATTCGAACGGGACCAGACAGCGAAGGTTGTTGTGGCGACGACTACAACGAATGTCGAAGCTCCTCCGCCGGTTGGGCCAGGCAGGCAAGGCCTCCAAGGGCGGCCACGACCCACCCCTGCCTCCCCTCGAAGACTACGCCGCCTCGCCCCTCCTCTCCGTTCGCACCCCCCCCCCCACTTCGCTTCGCTCTTCGCTTTCCCCATCTTCATTCTTTTTCTTTCTCCCCCCCCCAATTCCATCTTTTTGTCACTCGGGCTGACGAGCTCGTTTCGTGTCTATCTTTAATTATTGTACATATATTATTTTTCCTATTATTTATTCATGTATTGTTAATTGAAGGAGCTGCCGGAGGAGTGCCGGGCGATGGTGCGCAAGGCGGGGCTGCAGCCCGCCGAAGCCGAGCAGGACTTCATGGTGCTCCTCTCGTGCCTCTACTTCGAACTCAAGCACAACCCGGACCTCACCGCCCACGTCAAGGCACACCCCTCCCCCTCACTGTCGCTGCGCGCCGCCCGGTGGTCAGTCGGTCAGTTGCCAACCAACCAACAAACAAACGCGCGCGCAGGCCCTCATCCGAAAGCACAGGCGGTCGACCAGGAAGAACTCCCCAAACCACCACCGCCACCACAACGCGGTGACGGGCGCGGCTGAGGCGACGGATGAGGCGACCGCTGCCGGCGATGATGCGTCGTCGTCACAGATAGTTAAGTCCGAGGAGAAGATCGAGAAGAAGAAGAAGGCCGAGAAGGTCGAGAAGAAGGAGAAGACCGAGAAGGAGAAGGTGGTGGTGGAGGAGGAGGAGGGTCAAGCCGCCCTGCCTGCCGAGGCGCCGGAATATGATGTGGAGGCGACCCACAACAAGAAAAAGAAAACGAAAACGAAAACGAAGAAAAAGAGGAAGAGGAAGAGGACGAAGAAGGCGGCGGCGGCGGAGGTTGTGCAGGGGTCGACAGACGTCGTAGAGAGGGTCGACAGTGTCGTACGAACAACCGTCGAAGAAGAAGAGGAGGAGGAGGAGGGCGACGAGAGCGACGGCGGCGAACCACGCCCGAGCGCTCTACCCACAAAAGCGAAAACGAAAGCGAAGACGAAAGCGAAGACGAAGACGAAAGCGAAAACGAACGCACTCCGACAACCAGAGGTGCCGGGGGAAGTGCGTGACGAGCCGGCCGGCTCCCCTACGTCCGGCAGCAGCAGCAGCAGCCAGCAGCCCGTGGCGGCGGCGAGGGCACCACCGGCGCTGGTGGTGGCCCAGCCGCCGCAACCGGCGGAGGCGGCACCGGAAACGGCGAGGCCGGCCATTGGCGGCGGCGGCGAGGCGCGGGGCAGGGCGCGGGGCTTTTCGTTTTCGACGTTCTTCCGCCCCTCGCCGTCGTTGTCGGCTCCGGACCTGGTCGACGAAGACGCCGCGGCCAAGCCCGCTGGTGCCTCGAAGAAGCGCTTCTCCGCCTCGGGCCTTCTCCGCCCCAGCGCCTCGCCTTCGGGCGCCCAATCCACCGCCGCCTCCAGCTCGCCGCTGTACCCCCCACCCCAACCCCCGCCCTCTCATGCCACACACACACACACACACACACGACACACGCACACAGAGCCTCAACCGACCTCTTTCTTTTGAGTGCAGGGCGCAGCCCTCACCGCCTCCGCCGGGCAAGAAGGCTGCCAAGCAGCAGCGACCACCGTCGACCGCCGCGGCCGCGGCCAGAGGCCACGAAGAGCAGGACCACCACGATAATAACCACGACAACGGGAGCCGCGGCGATCGCCCGGCGGACGCCCAGGGTTTTCCGGTGCGGGAGGAGCTCTTCCTGCTCGACAACCCGGCGCCCATCTTCTCCTCCAAGCAAAGAATCGGCCGCGGGTACTTTACTTCTACAAACGCCCCGCTCGCCCTCTTGCGTGTGCGGCGTCTGCGATGTGTGCGGTGCGTGTCGTGTCGTAGCACTTTTTCTCACCTTCGTGTCCTCCCGGCTCTCCGTCGCCAGCGGGTTCGGAGACGTGTACACGGGCAAGGACAAGACAACCAACCAAGTGGTGCGCCCCACCAGTCCCGCGCGAGTTGGCCTAAATCCGGCGGTGTGAGCCATGCGTGGGACGAGGCCTCACGCGTCGTGTGTCGTGTGTGCGGCTGGACGATGGATCTATGGATGGATGGGGCAGGTGGCGATCAAGATTCTGAAGAAGCCCTACAGCGAGCACGGCGAGCAGATCTGCAACGAGCTGGAGATATTGCGCTCGTGCCGGCACGACAGCATCGTCAATTACCTGCGCTCCTACCTCTTCAAGGACCGCGTCTGGGTGCGCACCCCCACCCTCGCCCCCTCTCCTCGGACCCTCTCTCAAGCGTGCGATGGTGCGATGGTGCGTGCGTGTGCGTGTGCGGTGGTGTACGTGTGTGCGTAGATGGTGATGGAATACTGCGACGGTGGCTCCCTGCAGTCCCTCATCGCGGGAGTGGACCTCAACGAGGGCCAGATCGCGAACGTGCTCCGCAAGGTGCTGTGCGGCCTCGACTACCTCCACAAGCAGAACCGAATCCACCGCGACATCAAGGTCGCCCACCCGCCCACCCGCCCAACCACCCACCTCTGCATCTCATCCGCCGTTTATTTTTCTGCTGCGACGTGGTGCAGGCCGACAACATTCTCCTCAACATCAACGGAGCGGTCAAAGTCGGTTCGTGCCCTCCCCCCCCTCTCTCATTCCTCTCTTTTCGTTCTTTATCTTTCGCTCTTCTGTTGCATTAAAATAATAATGAAATGACATTTTTTTTTGCGGGTACCGCAGCCGATCTGGGTCTGTGTGCGGAGCTGAAGGACGGCGACGATTCCCATGCCGGCATGGTCGGGTCCCGCTATTGGATGGCCCCCGAAGTCATCAAACGCGAGGTACGACCCCCCCCCCAACGCAACGCAACGCACCCCACCGCCGCCACCACCGTAGGTCGACACACTCATATTCTCACCCCTCCTCCCCCAAACAGCGCTACAATTCCAAGGTGGACATTTGGTCGTTGGGTACGCGAGAGATCTCTGCTCACTCGTTTGTTATCATAATTATCATCATCATCAGCATCAGCATCATTATGTCGCGTTGTTGCGCTCATCTGTGTGACGGAAACCACCTGGATGGGGGCGGTTCTCTCCCACGTGCAGGCGCCGTGGCCATGGAGATGGCCCAGCAGCATCCGCCCTACCACGGACAACCTTCGCTCCGGGTGAGTGTCACTCCTCGGCCAATCCATGCGACCGAATGGTTCGTTGTGTGGCTGCTGCTGACCACCTCCGCCTCCCTCCTCCCGTGCAGGTCCTGTTCCACCTGGCCACCAAAGGCGCGCCTCCGCTCAAGCAGCCCAAGAAGTGGTCCCCCGAGTTCCAGGACTTCCTCGCCCAGGCACGCATCTTGCACAACCCTCCATCCACAGTGCTGTGATGGCGCCACGTGGGTCTACAACCCTAACCGCCACACACACATCGCAGTGCTTCATTATGGACCCCGACCAGCGGCCGTCGGCCGAGCAGCTGCTGGAGGTACGCTTAACTTTACAGATCGCTCGTGTGTTGTGTCGTGCGTGTGCGTGTGCGTGAGTGTGTGTGTGTCGTGTGTTGTGTGAGAGAGAAGTCTTACACACACGTTTGTTGTTTGGGTCGTGGTGCAGCATCCGTTCATCGCCAAGGCATCGCCCAACTCCAAATTGGAGCAGGCCATATCCATCGTCTTCCTGGGCGATTCCCTCAAGATGAACGGGTTCTAAAGAGCGAAAGAGAAAGAGAACTACGATAACGCAACGTTGGGCCGCAGAGTTATTAAAAACAAAACAAGACCAAAAATACAAAACATTCTCTCGCGTGGCTGGCTGGCGCCTCTGGTCTGGCCGGTACCTCAGTAGGAGAAGATCTGGGCGTACCAGGGCGGCACGATGACGAACAGGCCGCTGTTCCTCATCTGCGACGCGGACCGCACATACGACTGACCGGAGAGGAGCTCCGTGATGGTCAGGTTGTCGGTGCCGGGGGGCGCCTGCGCATTGCTGACGATGACCGAGCCCGAGCCGGCCGTGTCGCTGTAGTTGATGACGCACAGCCTCTGTGTGTGAAACCGCACGCAAACTGTGAGATCCTCCCTCGTGACTGCTATAGACGGGTTTATACCGATATATGTAGACATATACTAATATATACTAATATTTCCTCATGTTTTCCAATATATTACCTTTTGGTTGTTGTACTCCCAGCGCCACGCCATCAGCCGCCAGTCGCTGTTCGACCCGCTCACCGCCAGGTACGTCCACGTGCCCCTGTCCCCCCGCCCCGCCCAGCAGGTTAGGGCCGGTTCATCGGGTCTTCATGTGAAGATGGAAGGGTGAAGATGGGCCGTAGTAGGTACGACGTGGACGTGGACGTGGACGTACTTGTTGAACACGTCCGCGGTGACGATGGGGAGGAGCGTCGCGTAGAACTGCTCCGTGGCGTTGTGCACCGGCTCCCAGCTCTCCCTGTTTACACGACATCACATTACATTTAATTATTTAGTTACCGATCGACCGAGCGAGAGTCGTCCGAGGACCAGGAGAGGGGGGGGCAGCGGTACCTGCGCAGCTGCACGGCCAGCTTGGCCTTGTACCCCTCGAAGTCGCCCATCCTGCGCAGGCGCACGACGCACGACGCACGACACACGACACACGACACGACACACGACACACGACACGACACACGACACACGCACGGGAAAAAACAAACACGTTCAGCCCATTACACAGAAGTAGGAGGGGAGGGGTCAGTGGGTGCGACGAGCAGGAAGTAGGAGGAGGAGGAGGAGGTTGGGGCGGGCGAGGGGGCGGGCGAGGGGTACCAGTAGAAGCGCATGCCGGGGATGGTGTACATGATGAGCGCGGCCGCGTTCGCCCTGGCGTGCGCGGAAAAGCAGACAGGTGAGAATACACTCGAACATGCGTTTTGTCCGTGTGTGTGTCGTGTGTTTCGTGTGTTTCGTATGTGTCGTGTGTGTCGTGTGTGTGTGTCGTGTGTGTGTCGTGTGTGCGCACGCGTCACACGTACTGCGTCCATCCGCCAAAGTGCGCCGCGGCCCTCTCCTCGTCGTGGTTGGCCACAACTGCGCGTTGATTGGTTTGGTTAGTTTAGTGGAAGGGGGGGGGCGTAGTCGTGTGGGAGGTGCATTGAGTGGGGGGGAGGGGGCAATGAGTACAGTGGGCCGAGTGGGTGAGGTAGGACACGGACGAGCCGCTGATGTGGCCGCGCACGTTATCGAGGTCGTCGCTGGTGATGAGGTCGTAGAGGGCCTTGTCGTACGTGTAGTCGAACCCCTGCGCCTGCAGGTCCCCCTACACATATGCCACGCCACACACACACACACACACACACACGACACACACACACATACGACACACACGACACACACCCGAGGTCGTCGCGTCAGTCGGAACACCGCATCAGAGAAAGGGGGGGGAATGGGGCACACACCTGCCACGGGCTGTAGACCTCGGCGAGGAAGACGACGTTCGGGTAGACGCTCTTCACCGCCGAGATTGCGTCGGCCCAGAACTCGGTCGCCGGACGCGAGAAGCCCCACGAGGCCAGCTGCGACCCCCACGTCTGTTCCCACGGCGGGTGAGAAATAGATCCGGCGCGTGTCGTGTGGCGCGTGTTGCGTGTCGTGTGGCGCGTGTCGTGTGGCGCGTGTCGTGTGTCGTGTGGCGCGTGTCGTGTGGCGCGTGTCGTGCGGTGGAGGGGCGGTGGGACCTGTCCGAAGAGGTTGTTGATGGCGAGGTAGGCCATGTCGCATCGGATGGCGTCGGCGAGGGAGGCCACGTAGAAGAGCTCCTTGATGCGGGCCGCCCGCGTGTCGGGGTTCCAATAGTTGTACTGCGCCGTGTCCTTCCACGGTCCGTAGCCGTCGCTGCCGTACGCGATGCCCGACGGCATGTACACCTGCGCGTGTCGTGCGTGTCGTGCGTGTCGTGTGCGTGTGTGCCGTGCGTGTCGCGTGCGTGTGCCGTGCGTGTCGTGCGTGGATTGGGATGACCGTCAGCCGAGGAAAGGGGAATGGCGGCGGGGGGGGAGGCGCCGGCGCACGTTGGAGTCGTAGGGGGGCTGGGTGCCCTTGGGCGCCCGGATGTAGTAGTCCGGGTTGGTCGACATCTGCACGGCTGCGCGTGTCGTCGTCGTCGTCGTGTGTGGTGTGTGTCGTGCGGGCATGTCGTGTGTGTCGTGTGGCGTTGGATGACGTTAGCGCACGTCGTGGCGGCCACCGGCGACAACCGGCGAGCACAAGGGTATTGGGTGGCGGGGAGAGGGGGAGCAATGAACCATCGACGGCCGAGTGGTTGGGCACAAAGTCGAGCATGAGCTTGAGGCCCATCGAGTTGAGGCGGGCGCGAAGCCCCGCGATGTCGGCATCGCTGCCCAGCTGCGGGTTGGCCGTGTACTGCGTGACCGCGTACGGCGACCTATTGTTTCCGAAATTATTTCGAAATCATTTCAAATAAAAACAAAAACGGGGAAATAGAAATAGAAATAGAAGAAAAAAAAATGCGTGGGTACCCGATGACGTCGGGGAGGGTCCAGCCGGGGAGGATGGAGTCGTAGGAGCTGAGGGTGCCCGGGTCGGTGCGGTCGTAGTTGAGGCCGTAGCTGCCCAGGTGCCACACGCCCATGAGCCACACGATGTCCATCCCCTTCTGCTTGATGGCCGCGAACTCCTCCATCGGCACATCCACCAGCCGCGAGATGTTGCGCCCGTACTGTTGCCGCCGCACGACACACACGCGACACACACACGACACACACGCGACACACACGCGACACACGTGCTCTCACCGTCAGCCACCGGTCGGCCGCGGAGACCAGCAAACGCCGTGGCGGAGCCGTCGTGCGTGCGTGCGTGGTACGTGCCTTGAGCGAGAGCGAGTAGAGCCAGGGCCTCGTGCTCAGTTCGTACATGTTCACGTTGTCCGCAGCTGCCCCCGCCTACACACACACACACCCGCCACCACCACAAACCGCCGTAGCTCCACAAAGTGAGCTGCGCGTCTCTCTTCCCCCCCCCCACAAGTAAACCCTTCCATTTGGGGCCACCAGGTGGTGGCAGACATTGGGGGCTGAGGGGGGGGCTGCCACTGCCGGCACTCCCGCAGCAGCTTTGGGGGGGGGGCAGTAATAAAAGATGGGTAATAAATAGTAATAAAAGAAGAAAAGAATAACAAGTCGTACCGGGTGGAGGCAGAGGCAGGCGAGGAGGGGCACCACGACCAGGACCACCAGCAGCGCGGCCCACGAGTACGGGAAGCTTCGTGGCATGGCTGGCCGCTCGTGTAGAAGAAGAAGACGAATGTTTCTTTTTTTATTACCGCCTTGAAAAAACCCAACCATCGCCCAATGGTTGATGGGATGGTGTGGCACGGCGCCTTCTCCAAGGGACCATGTTCCGCCTCTCTTCTTTTGTCTTCTCACGAAGAGGCGGCGGTCTCCTTGCTCAGCGCGGCATCCTCGGCCGCTCGCTTGGCCTGGCGCTGCCGCAGGTACTCCTCCGTCACCTCCTCTCGCGCTCGCTCCGCCCTGCCCAACCCAACACAGCACACAGCACACAGCACACAGCACACAGCACACAGCACGAGGCCAAACATGTCAGCAAACAAGCGCGTGATGAGGAACCAGGAGGAGCGAGCGTTAGAGTTACACTTCGTGGAGGCAGTCGGCCATTTGGGCCTTCTCGTCGCGGCACGCCCACAGGAGGCTGATGAGGCGGTGCTTGGTGCAGTCCACGTAGGGCTTCACCACCGGGTCGCACAGCTTGTACGCCCTACGTTATATGTATACAACACCCCCGCCGCCCCCAAACCACCCACAGCCCCGCCATCATCAGAACAAGAAGACACGAATGTGCTTCTCTTGGCGGCACACGCCTCTACCGTCACGGCACACGCCTGCCGCTCCCCCCAATTTGGAGATGCGGCGGTGCCTTTTGTGCTGTACGCGGTAGATGTGGTTCTTCTCCTGGTTGGTGAGGAACGACGGATCGTCCGACAAGCGGTAGGTCTTCGTCTGGGATGCGTCTGCCTGCGCCATCTCTCCTTCTTCTCTCTTTCCCCGGGCAGTGTGCAAGTCCCTTTTCCTCGAATTTCTTGGCGCACTCTTTATTTCTCTCATTTTCTTTTCTTTTCTTGAACCGCCCAAAGTTGCGCACAAGTTGCGCACGTTCGGGCTGGGCCAAAAACTGTGGCTTTCACGCGAGGTGGTGGTAGTCGAGGGACTGGGCGTTGAGGTGCTCGTACCCGTCGCGGCGGGCGTGGTCGTCCTTCTTCTGCTCCAGGGGATTGGGGAAGTGGTGGGCCAGCACCAGCCACACCGAGACGAGCACGGAGAGGGCGACGAAGTTGACCATGTACGTTTCGCTGCTGTACGACTCGTTGTTCGGGTTCTGGAACGCGTTGTAGATCCACTGGCGGTCCATGAGTCCGGTCAAGATTGCCGCCGTGCACCCGATGTAGATCATGATACCTACGCAGCCCGCGAGGTTAGTTACTCTCTATCGCTCCATCATCAACAACAAGAAAAGAACGAAACGAAACGAAACGTAACGAAATAGAATTGTTAAAATAAAATAGAATAGTGAAATTGGTCCACCTACCGGCCCACATGTGGACGGGACGGAGGGCCTGGCGGAGTCGCTCGGGCGGGAAGTTGATGCCGAACAGGGGCGGCACGAAGAGGGCCACGCCAAACAGCCACTACATAGAAACCACGACCATGAGTTGACGTTGTGTGCGTGTGCGTGTGCGTGTGCGTGTGCGTGTGCGTGTGCGTGTGCGTGTGCGTGTGCGTGTGCGTGTGCGTGTGCGTGTGCGTGTGCGTGTGCGTGTGCGTGTGCGGCGTAGCATGTGAAGAAGTCATGCAAGAAACGCAATGCTGCAGCAGGTGAAGGTGAAGAAGGAAGGGCACCTGAAGGGCAAAGAGGGCGTAGCTGGAGACGCCGAGCCAGGCGTGGAGGCTGTACATGTGGTCGTTGCCGGTCTTGTCCTTGAAGATGATCACCGTGGCCAGGCCGCCGGTCGAGGCCGCGAGGCCGAGGGTCTGGATCAGGGCGTGGATGACCTTGTTCACGTTCCTCGAGAACGGCAGCGACCTGAAGGCCAGGGCCGCTGCACGAAGCCATGGCGTTGCCAACAACTCAGTCAGTCCATGCAAGACCACAAGCTCTACACAGCTTGTGCGGTGTGTGCGGTGTGCGGTGGTGGCGTGCTACTGCACTGCAGCAAGTGTCACTTACCATGAGCGTAGAGGGTGGTGTAGGCGATGAGCATGCACAGCGGGTGCCAGTTGAACACCAGCCAGGGCTCGTCCCAGTTCGTACCGAACCCTTCAACGCCCTTGCCCAGCCTGCGCACACGTCGGGGCAACAAACCGCGGTATTGTGTAAGTATTATACAGTTCTATTTCTATTTTCTATTTTCTATATTAAAAAAATGAAACTAGTTAACAAACAAGAGTACATATTTCGATATTCTATTATATATTGCGGAAAGGAGGGGGAGGGGTGCACCTGGTGAGGAGCCACACAAGAATGAGCACGAGGGGCACGTAGGAGAACCCCGCTGCCAAGAGACCGCCCAGACCCCTGAGTAGTGTGCTGCTGCCCATTTTCTTTCTTTCGTGCGTTGCTTCTAACAAAGGGAGTTTGGGTCTGCCCCCTCTGCCTCATTGGTCCCGCCATATATACTGTCGGCGAAAGAGAACTCCTTCTCTTTTTTAATGCCGCACTGCACGATTTGTGCTCGCCCAAGAAGCAGGAAAACACCTTTTCCTGAAATTTCTTTTCGAAATTGTACCAATTTCAGGAAAAGATGGCGGACAAGATGGCGGACAAGCCTCCGGCGGCTGAAGAAGATGGAGGGCTGCTGATGGAGTTCTTCGTGAGCATGGTGACGCCGGGCATGGTGGGACCCCGCCTCGAGCGACTTCTGTTCGGGTGCCTGGGCGCCCTCGCTCTCGTGCTGGTCCTCGTCTGGTGGCGCGCCGGCCCCGACGTGGCACCCCACGCCCTCGCCCTCCTCGCCCTCACCGCCCTCCTCTCCGCCTCCCTCTTCTGGTGCCCTGCCCTGCCCTCCCCTTCTACAACTCCCCCCCCCCGCATTTGCCTGCGGCGCTGACGTGGCACTTGGCAGGGTGCTGGGCGAGCTGCGGGTCGCGAAGGAGCAACAGAGCGCGAAGCAGCAGCAGCAGGGCGGCAAGACGAAGAAGAAGAAGAAGGTCACCAAGAAGGAGAACAACGCCACCAACGCCGTCGCCGCTGGCAAGCAGCTGAAGGCCACCACCAACGACAAGAATAAGAAGAAGAACAAGAAGAAGAAGAGCAAAGCCAACTGACGAGCCGCGTGTGAGTCAATAACAATCGTTTATTTATTGATCGTGCCGGCCGTAGGCGGTGGTGGTGCCCTGCAGGGGTGCAGTTCTAGGCATGACCTATGATCCAAGGTCGGCCGGGGTGTAGGTGTGCACGGAGAGGGAGAGGCCCAGCGCGTAGGCCAACCGCAGGGCCGCCCGCCGCACCACCGCCGCTCCTCCTCCTGCTGCTGCTGCTGCTGCTGGTCCACTCGCCGCCTCCTCTCCGCCGCGCCTCCCTCGTGTCCGCTGCTGCTGCGGCTGCTGGGCGCCCAGCAGGGCGTGCAGGTGCCGACCCGCTGCCTGCTCCACCTCCTCCCTGCCGTCATCTGTAGACCACACGACCCGCACAACCCCCCGCCCCCGAGGTTAGGTCAGCACACAGCGGTTGAATGGTTGGTTGGTTGGTGGAGGAATGGGGGCTACGTACCGGAGAGAGCGAGGTGGTAGAGGGCGTGGAGGGCGGGAGCCATCAGCTGGGCCTCGTCGTCGTCGGCGGCGGCGGCGAGACGGCTGCTGCGATCGCCGGGCTGGTGATGATCGGCCTCCAGGAGAGCCGCCAGGGCCGCCACGGCGCCTTCTCGTCGGAGGCTCTGCCCCACGGCCTTGTCCCCCGCTGCACGCACCACCGCACACGCACCACCGCACACGCGAGATCGTCAGAGCCGGCAAATGCATGGAACACGCGCGGCAAAGCACAAGGGGGGGAGAGGGGGCGGAGGAGGTGGTACCACAGGCGGTGATGTCGACAAGGAGGTCGAGCGCGCGGGCCAAGGGCTCGCCCCGGCCAGCCGTACGGAGCAGCGAGACCAGCACGGCCGGACCCCCGGCCTCCACGAACTCCTTCTCCCGCTCGTCTGCCACGCACCCACGCACCCACGCACCACGGCCACCTGCTGTCAGCTGCTGTGCGTGCAGCGAGTGCGGCGCAGCGAGTGCGGACGTACCGTGGGGCAGGAGGTGGGAGAGGGCGGTGAGAAGGGCACACGCGGCGTCGTCGGGACATGGCTCCCGCAGCAAGCCCAGCACCACCTCCACGCCGCCCGCCGCACCGATCGCCTCGCTTCCCTCGCCTGCACGATGACGATTGATGCGCGTTGACATCGCCACATCGCGACACGACACACACGACACACGACACGACACACGTGTGAGAAGTACGAGTTTTCCGGTCAGTTGGGGGCGGGGCGTACGCGAGAGGGCGAGGTGTGCGAGGGCCGTGGCGGAGTGGAGCATGACGGTGGGCGGCCGCGACGTGACGCCAAGGCAGCGGAGGAGCGCCGGCACGCCGGCGGCGGTGCAGAGAGGCGCCCGGTGCAGGGCATCGGCCGCAATGCTGGCCAGCAGGCGGGCCACCAGCTCCTGGGCTTCTTCGGCGAGGGACGAGGGGGAGGCGTCATCATCGCGCGCGAGGAGGGCGACGAACACTTCGAGGCCCCCGGCGGCGACGATGGCCTGCCGATTGGCCCGTCCCGACGCCGCCACCCGCGCGAGGGTCCGCACCGACCGGAGATCGGTCATCGCGTGGCCCACCAGCGCCTCCGCCACGCCTGTGCGCCACAAATCAATCAATGAGTTTTCACTGATCGCTCAATGTACGTGGGGGAGGGCACGAGTAGTACCAGGGGAGGAGTGGAATGCGAAGCGGAAGGGCGCCTCGCGCGAGAGGTACTCGGCGGCGGAGAGCGCGCTCGACTGGGCGCCGGTCTCGCGGGAGCCGAGCAGTGCCACCAGCACCCGCGGCAGCTGCTGCGCCTCCGGCAGGTCGAGGACCGCCGCTCGGCCCGCGCCGTGGGCGCACACCCGATCCAGGCACTCGGCCAGGGCCACCTCCACCGCTGCCGCCGCCTCCCGGCTCTCCTCGTTCGCTGGCGTTCCATCGCCGCCGGCGGCGGCATCAGCGGGGGACGAGGTGGTGACGAGGGCAAGGAGGTCTATCAGGAGGGCGACGGGCGCGGGCGAGGCGGAGAGGGCCAGGAAGTCGGCGATGTGTTCGGCGGGGTCGGCCGCCAGGAAATTGCGGAGGGCGCCGGAGGCGTGACCGAGCGCGGCGCCACCGCACGTCTCGGTCTCACGCTGTTCGTCGGCCAGGGCGGCCAGGACGGCGAGGAGGGCCGGCAGGAGGCCCTCGGCCCGCAACGTCGCCGCCGAGTGCGGGTAGGCCGTGAGGTGGGCCAAGCTCACCAGCGCCGCCTCCCTCGTCACGGGGCTGCATACACGAGGAATGAGAAGAATGAGAAGAAAGAAAAACGAAAAAGAACGAATGCGGGGAGAAGGAGGGGGAGGTACTCGGGCGATTGGAGCATGAGGATGAGGGCGGCCGAGGCCCCAAAATCGAGGAGGAAGCCGCACACGCGCGGGTCGACAGGGGTGAGGTGGGCCAAGCCCTGACACGCGGCCTCGCGAGCGTGCGGGTCCGCCGAGGCGCACAGCAGCGACACCAGCGCCTCGCCTGCGCCGTCCTCCACCAGCCCCGCCCTGCGCCCGTACGCCCCCGGCGTCAGTGCGACCAATAACGAAGCGAGAGACGCGCGGGGGGGGGAGGGGAGCAATTTAGATACGTACCGCAGGTGCGGGCGCGAGGCCATGTCGCGCAGTTCGAGGGCCGCGCGCCGCTGGGCCGTGCTGTTGGGGGAGGCGGCCAGGAGGAGCAGCCCGCGCACCCCGCCCTTCTCCACGAACGTGCCCCACGCCGGAGGATCCTGTGCGGTGGCGCGTGTGTGCGTGTGTGCGGTGGTGCGTGTGCGCGTGCGCAGCGGGCCAACCCGGGTTGAGTGCGCGAAGAAACGACGCATGGTGTGAGGGAGAGTAGAATGGAGGCCCGGGGGTCCGCACCTGTTCGCAGACGTGGAGCAGCACCACGATGACCTCCTCCCGCAGCCGTCCGTCGGCTGGTCCGAGGCCCAGCAGCAGGTTGACGACCACCTCGAAGCCTGTGTGATGGGGCCAAACAAGCTCAGCTCACTCGCTCTGGTGGCGTGCATTGTGTGTGTGTGTGTGTGTGGTCGTGCCGTAGTACCGTTGGCGTCGTGAAGGGAGAGTGCGAAGGCTGGGTCGTCAGAGAGGAGCAGGAGGGCCGACACTGCCTGCTCGCGCGGCCCGGCCTCGTCGCCCGCCAGGTAGGGCAGCACGTGAGGCAGCGCCGGCGCCTGGAGGATGGCCTCGCGGGTGGCCGGGAACAGGGAGAGGTTGGTGAGGGCCACGAGCGCGTAGCGGCGCGTGACGGGGCGCAGGGCGGCCGAGAGGCGCGCGGTGAGGGTCGGAATGCCGCCGGCGCCCAGCAGCCTCGCGGCCTCGGGCTCCTGCAGGGGCAGACGCGAAAGCACGCAGCACACGTCCTCCTCGAGCGCTGCTGCGCCCGCCTCTTCGCTCCCCAGCAGCAGTTCCACCAGCCTGGTACCGGACCTGACGTCAGCAAAAAAGAGCGAAAGAGAAAAAGCGAAAGCGAAGGGCGTGGTGGTGGGGGAGGTGTGTGTGCCTAGCGATGGTCTCCTCTTCGCACATGCCGCCGCGGGCCTGCTCGTCCTGCGAGAGGAGGGCCAGCAGGTGGGCGGCGGCCTGGGCCACGGCGGGGCGTGAGGACTGCAGCAGGCGCACGGCGCAGGGGAGGCCCTTGTGGACCAGGAGCAGGGCACGGTTGGCCGGCGAGTCCTCGCAGAGGTGGAGCAGCGCAAGGGCGGCCTGTTCGGTGAGCTCGGGTCCAAGGGAGGCCATCCACTCGGTGTCGGCCAGGAGCGCGATGAGCGGCGGCACGCACGGGCCGGCGCGCGCCCGCACCTTGGGCTCGCCCGCGACGGCCACGAGGAGCCGGAGGGCCTGCACGCGCACCTCGCCCGCCTCCGACGCCAGCAGGCCGGGCACGTGCTGGATGCCGTTGGACAGGTGGAAGCCCTCGCGACAGATCAGGTGCGCGCACAGGTTGGCCAGCCCGCACGCCGCGTACGCCTGCCCCTGCTGTGTTTCGAATTCCAATCATTCATCGTTGGCGGTTAGTCGACGGAAAAAGGCCCGCTGGGGGGTGGAGCGTGGTACGGGTGGGTGGGACGAGGCGAGGAGGGGCACGAGGGCGCCGATGCCGCCGACGGCGGCCACTGCGGCGGCCACGCGCTCGCTGCCGGTGGCGGAGAGGGCGGCGAGAGCGCCGATGGCGGCCGTGCGCACCGGCAGCTCCGGGCAGGCCAGGAGCGATACCATCTCGCGCACGCCACCGCAGTTGATCAGCACCATCCCGTTGCTCTCTGTGTCGCGTGTCACGTACATCAGCATCATCATCATCAAGTCAGATGTGCGTGTGCGGTGGTTTCGAAAATTGCATGGCACGCGCACGATGACGGCGCCTTGGGCGTCGAACGCACCGTGTCCGGCCATCTTGGCGATGAAGGAGAGGGCCTGCATGCGGAGGCGCTCCTCCTTGGTGCCGAGGAGGCCCACTGCGGCCTCGATCAACCCGCTCGGCGCGCACTTCTCGCGCAGGTCGCCGGGGAGCTCGACCACGGTCGACAGGAAGGAGAGGCCCACCTGTGCCAGGCGCGCGTTGCGCCCGTCCAGCAGCGCGACCACCGACGGTAGGCCTTCGCTCACCTGCGGGGCGATGATGTCCGCAGCCTCGCGATTGGCGGCCAGCGTGATCAGGAGGCGTGCGATTCGCTCCTGCGCCCACTGCTCGCCCCCACCACCATCAGGAATGTGAGATACGGCAGGAATTTCAAAAAGCAACCGCGGGGGGGGGCAGGTGGGCTATACCTCCTCGGCGGCGGGGAGGAAGTGAAGGAGCGCGGCGATGCCGCCCTCGCAGGCGATGGCGAGGCTGCCGCTGGGCTCGGAGGCGAGGCCGGACAGGGCAACGAGGGCGTACGACTGGATCGATGGGTGGCCGGCCAGCAGCCCCACCAGCACCCGCGCCCCCTCGGCCTCTATCACCGGCCCCCGCATGCTCTCTGTTCATCACCATCACCACCACCAAACACACAGAGGGTCCAGGTAAGAACACACGACACACGACACACACACACACACACGCACGCACGCACACCGCACACAGGAAGAGCGGGACGTGCCTCGGGAACACCAGAGCTGGAGGGTGTCGGCGGCGGCTTCGAGCACGGTAAAGGCGGGCGAGGCGGAGAGGAGGCCCACCACGCAGGGCACGGCGCCGGCGCGCAGGAGGTGCGGCTCGGCCCCGGCCTGGTCGGCCAGCGCACGGAGGGCGCTCAGGCCCGCCTCCTGCATGGACTGCGAGCGGGACGACTGAACGCACGCCACCAGGGGCGCCATGGCCGGCAGGACCAGCTCGGCACCGCCCTCGTGGCGGGCCAGCTGCGCCAGCAGCGACGCCGTGTAGGCGCGCGTGTCGTCTTCGCCGGTGGAGAGGGCATGGACGATGGCGGGCATGGTGCGCTGTTCGCCGATCAGCGCGGCGGCGGCGCGACCGTCCTCCGCCATCTTGGCGATCAGTCGCATGCACGCTTGCTGCAATGGCGCACTGTGTGTGTGTCACGCGCCGTGTGCGGTGTTGCGGTGAACACGGTGTCAATTCCTGATGACGCTCGGTGGCGGTGACCACGAGAAAAGCAGCTGAGAGCTGACGGTGTGGTGAGAGCGGCGAGGGGGGAGGCGGAAACGAACTTTTCGCTGAGCAGGAGGGGCAGGATGGTGATGGGGAGGCCCATGCTCAGGGCGTCCTCGACGTGCGCCTTGTCCGTGCGCACGAGGTCGTACAGTTCGCCGATGGCGCGCAGCTGCAGGTCGTCCTCCTGGAGGCACGGCACCACCCGCGGTATGCACGCAGCATCGCCCCCTGCGCCGCGTGTTTTTATGTTTTAGATTATTATTATTATTATTATTTTGAGGGTCGGTGAGGGGAGATGGCGCGTACGGGCCAGGTGGTTGTGGCAGAATTCGCACACGCGCACGGGCTCGTCGTGCCCGAACGCGCGCACGCGCTGGCGCAGCGAACAGCACGTGTCTGCGAGCGAGATGGGGGGACACGCATCAGTCTCATGTTGCGCGATCGGTCCACGCGACACACGCGACACACACGACACACACGTGATAGAGTAAGAGAGAGAGAGAGAGAAAGGCACACACGCACCACAAAGCTGGTGGTAGCAGCATCGGCACTGGTGACGACGCTGTTTGACGGGCGGCGACCCCCAATCACGTGTCAGTCAACTTCAGAAACGAACTACATAAACGTGGAAGCGGGGAAGAGAGGCGGAGACAAGGCGAGCGCACCTTGAAGAACGAGAATTCGGCACCGCAGCGGGAGCAGTTGGGCTGCTCCTTGGCCGTGTCCCACACGGGCTTGCCGCGGGCGAGCTGCGCCCCTCCGCCGGCGCCGGAGGATCCAGCCCGCGGGCGAGTCTCCCCTGCAGGTCGTCTGCTCCACCAGCCCCCAGGGAAACGAGATTCGCGTGAGATGCGGCGGCTGCGGCCAAGCGGCGAAGCAACGGCAGCGGCGGCGGCGGGTACCCGGTGGGTGCGGCGGCGGCGGCGCCGGAGGAGAGGGAGGGAGGCGGGGCGTGGGTGTGTGCGTGTGCGGTGGTGGGGCCGGGCGAGCCCAGCAGCATGGAGAGGGGCGGAGACGAGGAGACGGGAGGCGAGGAGTAGGAGGCGTGCTGCTGCTGTGCAGAGGAAGCCGGCGATGGCGACGCAGAAGATGACGCGATCGGAGAGGAGACGGCGGCGGCGGAAGGCTGTGTCTGCGCCACGCTCGGGCTCAGCACCGCCGGGAAGACCGCGCCCGCCGCCGACGGCGCGTTGGCGCCCGACTGTGACACGACCGACACGCCGCCCACACGCCACCGTTAGTACGGCGCACACACCACGCGCGATGACCGGCTGGCGGACCAACAGGCACGGCACACGACACACCGCACGCGCGGACACACACACACACACACACGACACAAACACACACACACACAGAAAGAGAGAGAGAGAAAGAGAAGAGAGGGTACCGAGGGGAGCAGCGGGGCGGCGGAGAGGAGCCTGCGGCGGGGGTCCTCCCAGCTGGTGGTCTGCGTGTTGTGGTCGATGAAGTAGGACTTGCCCGTCGCCGTCTTGCCCTCTTCCCAGCCCGGCGGCAGCGCTGTGTTTCACAACATGCGCGTGTGCGGTGTGTGCGTCGTGAGTCGTGAGGCTGCAGCTGCAGCAGCAGCATTTGAGAGAGGGCGCGGGGAAGACAGCTGCTGGCCTGTGATGGAAAGGAAGGAGGAGGGGAGCGTACGGAGCGAGGAGAGGAGGGCGGCAGAGGAGGTGGCCGGCGGCTGGGTGAGGGTGAGGGGCTGGGTGAGGCTCGCGGGCGGCGCCGTGGCGATGACGGGGTGGTGGTGGGATCCCCTCAGACCGCCCACGGCGGAGGTGGCGGGAGGTGCCAGCACGGGCACGTAGACCGGTCGCCCGTAGGGGTCCACCGACAGTTGCCAGCCTGCTGCACACCAGCCACGTCAATGAGTAGTGCCCGCAGAGACATGTTGGCCAAGCCCTGCACGCCTGGCGTGCTGACGTGTCCATGAAGGGCGAGGCGCATCTGAGATGATGAGGGGTGGATGGGTGGTGGGGGATGAGGGGCATGCCTTGGGGCGGGCCGTCGGACATCTTCGGCGCGTAGAGAGGGGTGTAGCAGGTGCTTAGTAGTGGGCGTGATAGATGATTCGATGTGGGTGTATTCGCAAAGATGGATTTTCCTTCTAAATGTCGCAGCACTTGTTATAAATATTAATATTTTATTCTCGCCACGTCAGCAAGTGTTGGCCAAGGAATGTCGCTCTCTTTTTACAAGAATGTCAGAACTTTACAAGGAGGAGGAGCACATGTTGAGAATGTCGAACAGGACGGAACGGTCCTCGTCGCCAAAGGCGATGTCGTCGTAGTGGGTGAGGATGAAGTGGGCCGTGGCCTCGCGCAGCATCCGTGCCGAGTGCAGGCTCGCGCGTGTGTAGAGCAGGAACGCATTCTCGAGCGTCAGCATCTTGAACAGGACGTATTGGCACTACACGCCCGCACACACGCCCGCACGCACGCACGGATCTAGTCAGCTGATATCCACGTAGCATTTGCGTGTCACGTCGCACACGCACACACTGCACACCGCACACACACACACCGCACACACCGCACACACCGCACACAGTACCTTGTCCTTCATCCCGTCAACGAGGAAGCGATCGGCGGCGTGGAGGATGTCCAGTGCGAGGTCGAGGTTGGTCGTGACGAAAGCACTGTCGCCGCAGTACAGGTGCTCGAGCAGATGCTTGAAGGCCACCGGACTCATGTCCTCCAGTCGCACCTCGACATTTTGGGCCTCCTTCCACTCTTTGTTCTCGAGCATACTGTGGAGGCATTGTGTTAGTCCACGACCACGCGCACGCACACAACACACAAACACACACAACGCACACGACGCACACAACTGAAGAGTACCTCTTGAAGTTGGGGCTTTGGGCGCAGAGGATGATGCGGTGCGCCGGGTATAGTGTGCCCCGCACGTTGAAGACCACATCGGCGAGCGAGGCGTTCAGCAAGTATTGGCTGAGACCCGGCAGCCCGCAGGCGCGATCGTTTGCAGGACGTGGAGGGGCTACCGTCACCCGCTCGATGCACTTCAAGGCCAGTAGGGAGAGCGCGCCGCGACCTGTCGGCACGATTGAGGAGTGAGCCACATGCGCACTAGAGCCAAGAGCCAAGAGCCTGGGGCTAATATCTCGCATTCCGTACCGAACTTGTCTTTGTCCAAGAGCGGTACGCCTTGGTGGACCAGGAATCGCACGGCATCTAAAGAATGCGAGAGCGTAAAGTGTTAGGTGCAGCTGGCATTGAGTGAGGGGAGAGGGAATTGTACCGGCGTTGCCGATCTTGGCAGCGCAGTGGAGCGGCGTCTCGCCGCGGTCGTTGAGATTCGCCGACAGGAAGCCGGTCTCGGCGGAGAGAGCGTCTACCAGGGCCGAGAGAATGCTGGCCGCGGCGGAAGATGAAGAAGAGGAGGAGGAAGTGGACAAGCTGGGCTGGGCCGATGCGGCGGTGGCAGAGGCCATGGGAGGCAGGGAGGCCGCCAGGTGGGCGTAGGAGTTGCCCTCGCCATTGCGATACGAGGCGAAGAAAGACGCCACCGATGCAGACAGCGGACACAGCGACAACAGCTCTCGCACAGCGCGCACGTCAGCCTGCGCAGCCACAGCGCACTTCATCAGTCACCCCTCCCCCAATTCGCGCACACACACACGTGCACCACCGCACGCGCTCGTACCTGGAGAATGGCAACTTCCATGGGCGTGCGGGCTCGGTTGTCTTCCCTGGCCAGCTCGGCCACCACTTTCTCTGCGCCCTCGGACTCCTTGAGGCCGCTCACGTACGCCGCCACCTTTTGCGTCAGGCCCTGCGCGCCACCGGTCAGAAGCCATCGGCCGAGTTTTTCAAGTTATGTGGAGAGATGGCTACCTCGGAAATATAGCTGTGGAGAGGGAAGCGGGATGAGGCCCCGCTGCTGGAGTGCAGCAGGCCGGTCGAACGCGATGAAGCGCCGGCGGCCGGCGCAGGTTTGGGTGAGTCGGCGGAGGAGGCCGTCGAGCCCGGTGTGCCGAGGGTGTCCACGTCAGAGGACTCATCAGGAGGGGCCTGCTCGAATGCTTCACCCGACGAGATGGCGTTGATCTGGAGCACATCTGCGTACTGCGATACGAGAGGGACATGCACGACACACGACACACACGACATGACACGACTGTTAGACAGTGTCCAGGTGCATAGCTTGCATTCCGATACATTTGAGGTGGATGGCAAAGATGGGAAATAACCTTGTGTTGCATGTCCAGGATGGCTTGGTTCGCCATCTGTCGCTTGTCCTTGGCCTCAACGCCGGCCTCGTGGCACAGTGTGATCGCGCTGAGGAGGACCCACTCGCACGCGTCAGCCCCCAACCACGAGTGAAGAAAACGAAACAGAAAGAATGCGGAAGCAAATGGAAGCTACGAGTTCGGTGAAGTACGTCTGGAGAAGCGTGATCGTGTGGTTGAGGCGGTAGCGCAGGTTGAACGAGTTGCGCGGGATCGGCTGCTTGTACTTGCTCAGCGCCAGTTCAAACACCACATTGACGCACGACTGCGCGACCACGGCCACGACAGCAAGCGCGGTCAGAGTTCAATCGAGCTCGTGTGTCGATGGCTCTGAGAGAGAGAGAGGGAGTCGCATACCTCGGTCAGAGCGTTGGTTTTGGCCAACGCGGCCTCCTGGTGGAGGGGCACGCTGACCTCACGCATGACCACGAGGTCCGTGGCCCGCTTGAGGCTGGGTCCGGTTTCGCGCAGCAACCGAACGCAGTCGCGGATGTTGCTCACCGCCTGCTCGTTCGCCACGAGCCCCTTGTTGGCCTGCTCCCGCAGCGCGTCCTCGGTTCGCTTTATGTTTCGCCTGCGCGCCCTCGCCGTGAGCCAACCGCGCCCGGCATCACAGAACGTTGCTTTGAGATCGGAGAGCGATGGAGGTGGACAAGAGCAGACCTGATGGTGTGGATGATGCCGACCACCTCCTTGAGCGCGTTGAGGAGATCGAGCGGCCAGCGAGCCACCTTGATCAGCTCGATGTTGCCCACCTCGTTCTGCACTCGCACGGCTGTGATGCGGTTTAGAAGGGTGCAGGAAGGTCGAGGGGTTGAAGTCTAGAGAGAGAGAGAGAGAGCCCTACCGTGTTGGACCAGACGCGCCAGGTCGTCGAAGGTGCGGAACCGCCCCTCGTTGAGCTTGGCGACGAGGTCGGCGATCTCGTCCTTCTTGGCCATGGCCTTGGACGACACTGCCGCCACCAATTCATTAGATCGATCAACACCGCGACACACAAGCCACAAGACACGCGACACACGACACACGCACAAGAGGCTGCCTGATCGCTCGTGCGCGTGAATGAGAATACAACACACATTGCAGGTGTTGGGATTGTGTTTATGGGCTCTACGTACTGCGCCGGGTGAGAGCGCGGCGGAGTTCGTCCTGCGGTGTCTCGACGACCTGCTTCTCGACCACCACCGTCGCCCGCAGCTGCCGCTGGGAGAGCATCGCCGCCAGGTCTGCGTTGGTGTGATCACCATCACCAGCCACCAGCCACCAGCCACCACCAAAGAAGTCGGCTTAGTTGTTAGCTTTGGGGGGCTTGGCGTGCGGTTGGACTCGGCGGGCAGGATCCGTACCGGCGGGACCTGCGGGTCCAGGCGCCGCTGACGATGGCGCCGCCTCGTCCGAGCGGTCGGCTGAAGCTGAAGGCGGCAGTCCGGCGATGGACCGCTGCAGCCAATCGGGCAACGGCGGCGGACCGCCTGGAGGCGGCGGGGGCGGCGCTGCTGCGCTCACCATGCTCGACTGCTGCGCCGCTTCGTCCAAGTGCTCGGCCTCCGCTTCATCATCGCCTTCACCTTCGCCTGCTTCGTCAGTCGGCTGTTGTTGTTGTTGTTGTTGTATGCTCTCCTGGTTGTCTTCTTCGACTTCATCCGTCATGTGCAGCTGTTCTTCATCCTCTCCTAAGGTCCTCTGGTCTTCCATTCTCCTCCTTCCTTGTCAAACGTAGCACGTTTGAGGCGTGCGAAAAGATGCAAGAGGTTGCAGACTGATGACTGAGCGCAGAGTTTGTTGTTTGCTTTTGGTCGCGTAGGGGGAGCTTTGTCGTTGCAGGCCACCACCCCGCCTTCACTTCAAAACGCGAGTGTAGCGCGGAAGCACCTTCACCGCACCTTGCGCGGCAGAAGAAAATAGGTGAGAAACGATTTTTCTCTGGTCTTTGATTTTCTAACGAAAAAATAGAAAATGATAGAACAAAACAGATGATGAACCAACAGCAGCAGCAACAAATGGAGAAGGGCCAGCAGGCGGTAGCCGCTGCTGCGGTGGAGCGAGAGGTAGATATGCGACGTGCGGGTCGTCGCGTATTCCTTATCAAGGCGCCCGTCTATCTTGCCAAGGCATGGGCCGAGGCGGGGGCGGGGGCGGATCTGGGCCGCCTCTTCCTGAACCCAGCAGCCCTCCCCGTCATCGAGGGTTCGAACATCGATGGCAGCACTACAACTTCAACGACTGCTGCGGGCCAGAAGCGCAAGCGAGTGGATGATGGCCCTATTCCTCAGGGCGTAGTGGGGCGATTAATGGCGGGCGGCTCGGAGGGGGCCGTGCGCGAGCACACCATCTCCTTCGTGAAGCTGCCCGAGCCATCCTACTGCTTCTCGGACAGCGAAAGTACACACAGCATTGCCATTCTCCATCTCACAATTCAATCATTCATTCGTTCACCATGCAAGAGAGCGCGCCGTTGTGGTGCCGAGGCGGCATAGATTGATTGTTTGTCAACGTTGTTGCGTGCAGAGGGCTTCGCGGTGGAGGGTGCGGCACGCGTGCGGCTGGACGCGCAGCCGGTGTTCAGCAAGGAGTACAGATCGTTCGTGAAGGTGCGCGAGGAGAAGGAGAACGTCAAGACGCGCGAGCTCAAGCGCATCGACAACAACGAGACCGACATCAAGCGCCCGCGACCCTCGCTACTCAAGGTGCGCTTGATGACCTCTCGTCTCTCTCTCTTTGTCTGTCTCTCTACTCGTTGCCGCATAGTTGTCATTCCACACTCACACCCGGTGGTGGCTGGTGGCTGGTGGTGCAGCCGAAGAAGAAGGAGGACCTGGTGCAGGACAAGATGACCCGGATGCCGCGATCGGAGCTCATCGAGCTCATCTTCTCCTGCTTCCGGCGACAGGAGCACTGGTCGCTCACGGCGCTGCGAGAGTACACGCAGCAGCCCGTGGTCTACCTCAAGGAGGTGCTCAACGAGGTCTGCACCTACAACAAGAAGGTACCGCGCGGCCTCCTCCTCCAGCGATCAGTTCTCAGAGAAGACGCGTGCGTGCGTGCGTGCGTGCTGCTCACCTCGCGCACTGGGCGCTCTGCGGTGATGCCACAGGGAGAGCACAGGAGCACATTCGAGCTGCGGCCCGAGTTCCGAGAGGAGAAGAAGAAGCCCGCTGCCGACCCGCCGGCGTAGTTGTCGTGTGTCGTGCCGAGTGTGTCGTGTCGTGTCGTGTCGTGTGGCTACAACAACGCAACGCGCGTGGTTCATGGGAATATGTACATTGGCAATGCACGATTTGTTTGTTGTGTCTCTCTCGACACGAACACGAGCGGGTTCAGAACTTGTGTTAGTTGAGGAGGTTGGCCAGGCTCATGGCTGACTTCTTGGGCGTGGAGGAAGACGACGACGACGAAGAAGAGGAGGAGGATGGCGGGGTCGATGGGTTGCGTTGGTGCTTGTAGCTGTCGCGTGGGGTGAGGGCCTCGTGTGGCGCGTTGTTGCGCAGCTGGTGCACGATGTCCCGCACGATCAGCACCCCTTCGCTCTTTTCCTTCTGGCCCCTGTAATGCCACACGGCACACGGCACACGGCACACGACACGCGATGAGCACTTGGGAGAATCGCAACAAGGCTTTCACAGCGCACGCACCCGAGTTCTTCTTCGAGGAGGCCGATCAGCCGCTCGACCAGATCCGGGAAGTGGTACGTGTGCGCCGTTTGCCGCATCTTTTGGCACCTGGCGGGCGGTCAGCGGCCCGAGTTGCGCGCGACGGGGAAAGAGCGGTAAGTCCAACCAACAGAAAACGAGAACACCGCAGCAGCGGCGGAGCCGGCACGTGCGTGCCGGGGGAGAGAGAGAGACGAGGGTGGGGCGGGTTCGCGTACTCGGAGTAGAGGAGGTCTTTCTTCTGCGGCAGCCCCGCCACGCAACGGAGGACCTTCTGGCAGTCGCTCTGTTCCATTCGCACCACCACCACCAAAATTTGTTCATTAACGCGCACGACACGACACGACACGCACGCCGCAAGCAACACATAGGGTCGCTGGTGGTTACCTGCAGGACGTCGGGCGAGATGGACGGAATCGAGTACACGCCCTTCCCGATCGCGTAGCTCTTCGCGTGTGTGGTTTGCTGCAAACAAACAAATGGAAAACAACAACAAACAGCGGAGTGCCAGCGTGAGCGACACCTTAAGTACATGCACCGTGTTTGGGGGGCGGGGGCGGGGGCGGTACCTTCTTGATGGGGAAGGCGGTGGCGAAGGGCGAGTAGGGCGGGGCCATCGTGGAGATGAGCGCGGGCGGCGTGCTCTCGGTCCAGGCCATCAAGTCGTACAGTGGCAGTTTGGGCGACAGCACGTGCAGCACCAGACCTGCGGCCGCACCTCGCCGCGTCAGCGCGCGACCAACGACACGCACGCGCACCACCGCACACGCACACGCACACGCGTAATGGCATGACACACGACACGGAGGTACGTACAGTCGGTGGTGCCCTCGTTCATGGAGCTGATGAGGCCGAACCATCGATGGCCCAGCTGCACGACGCCCACCTTCTTCTCGCTCTTGAGACACGCGTTGAGCATGAGGCACAAAGCCAGATCGTCCTCCGTAATTCCCAGCCCTGCGTGCGGTGTGTGCGGTGTCGTGTGCGATGTCGTGTGCGATGTCGTGTGCGGTGTCGTGTGCGGTGCGTGCGTGGTAAACACACGCACACTGAGAGAGCGGGAATGACAATGCAAGGGAGAGACGAGGCGTGCCTTGGTCGAGGCTGGCCTGGGACGGAAGCGGGATGATGGCGTGGGTGGAGAGCGAGGGCGGGCTGGGCAGCTTCGCGGCCGCCATGAACCCGATCAGCGGCAGCAGACCCGGAAACGATCGCGGCAGCTCTGCGCGTTGAACAAAACGAAACCATCGGAGCACACCGTGAGCCAAATATTAATCGGCGTGTGCGCGTGTGCGGTGGTGCGTGTGCGGTGGCGCGTGTGCGGCGTGCGTGGTGGGGGGGGGAAGCTAGGGGCACGTGCCAGTGTGTACAATGTTGTGTTGGAAGAAGGAGAGGTTGGGGTTGGGATAGAGGGTGATACGGCGCGCAAAGTGGCCCAGCGTGAGCTGCCCATCGTACAGCCCATCTACCCAGCCGCAAGCCGTGAGCCCACACGAGCGCACACGGAGACACGCGACACACACGACACACACGAGCGCACACACGACAAAAACGACACGTCCAGGTACGTACAGTGTGTGCGGGCGAGGCTGTCGAAGGCCTGCTTGAGCTGGGGCGCGGAGTGTGGGGGCTCGATGAGATGGAAGCCGCCGCCCTGGAGCGTGGCCAGCTTCTGGTACTTGCGGAGCATGCCGCTGCCCTGCTGGTTCTGGTTCTGGCCATCGCCGGCCGCGGCCGTCTTCTGTCGCTTGCGCAGCTCGGAGGCGCCGTCGCCAAGCCGCTCGACCTGTGGTCGGCCCGAGCCCAGGGCCACCACGTGCAGCTTCACCGAACTGGGCAGCTCCATGTCCACCTTTCCATCGCCTGTCGTACACACCGCACACGCACACACACACGCCACACACACACACACACACACGCACACGCACACGCACACGCACACCACGACACACACACCGCACACACATTATCGCACACGTCCGACACATCATTGGTGAGCGTGCAGAAGTTAGTGCGGGGGGGAGGGGGCGGACGGCGTACTGGCGTCGGCAGAGTGGTGCAGGGCGTCGGTGATGAAGATGATTTGGGTGGGCGCCATGTCGGCGCCGAACCGGACGTAGATCTGCCGCAGGGCTTCGGTCAGCCCGGCGTCGGCGTCCGTGGCATCGCTGCCGCACAGCTCAATCGAGTACCTGCAGCGCCAGCCCCCAACCAAACGGTCACTCACGCCGTGCCCGGCAGCGCGTGTGTCGTGTGCGTGTGCGGTCGTGCGTGTGCGTGTGCGTACAGGGCCTTGCGGATGTCGCCGTAGTCGCGGGTGAGGGGCACCGCCAGCGGTTGGCCGACGTCGGTGGGGCCGAGAGCCACGAGGCCCACCACCTCCATCGGGTGGTTGTCCTCCAGGTATTTCAGGAAGTGCATCACCGCTGTGTGGGTGTGTGTAGAAGGAATGGATGTTCACGCCGGGCCTGCACGCGATTCGAATCATCGGGGGGGGGGGTACCGAGCTGCACAAGTTCTTTGCGCGTTTGGTTCCTGGTGGCCACCTGCCCCAGGGAGGCGGACGTGTCGAGCAGAAAGATCGTGGGCATCTGGGCCTGCAATTGAAGAAGAGCTCAAATGTTAAGGACCTTGGAATTCTTTTATCTTTTCCTTTCTTCCTTCTCTTTATGGAAGAAAATGTTTTCTCATTTTTCCTTTCTTTCCTTCTTCGGTTCTTTGTTGAAACGGCGGAAGATTGTGTACCCGAAGATCATCGACAGCTCTGTGCTCCACATGAAGTTCCTCTTCAGTTCTCTTCTCGTTTCGATTGTGGTTGTTCTATTCTCTCTTTCGAGCGCCAGCGCTGCACGGGAGCCCCCCGAGCAGGAGTGCGTCTGGTGCTACATGACCTGCAACTACATAAGCGAATGGCTTCTGGCAAACGCCACGGAGACCTTCATCGAACAGAAGCTCCAGGTGCTGTGCGACGTGGCTCCTTCGCCGTTGAACCAACAGTGCGACGCCCTCGTTATGCAGTACCTCCCACAACTGTTCCAGTTGATTAGCGGCAACGAGTGGACCTACATACAAGACTTGTGCGGTGAAATTGGCGCCTGCCCACCGGCTAAGAGGCGTTGAGGTGCACCGATGTAGAACGGAAGGAACCACATTGAAGAATGATAATAAATGACGAGCATCATTCCCTATGAAGGTTACTTATAACAGATTCGGCGGTCACGGTGATGGACTCGGCCGGCACCGCCACGGTACTTGGAGGAGTCATCGACGCCGAGCAATTGTTTGCGCTCAGCATCATCAACACAGTGCTCCTCTACAATCAAGAGCCAACGTATGTGTGTGCGCGCTCGTGTGGTGTGTCTGTGAGAGTGAGCCTGCGTGCGTGGAGAGAACAAACAACCACATCCACCCACAGTGGCCTGACGGCCAACTCCAAAATTGGGAGGGGTCCCCTCTGGGGATGTGGAGGTGTGGGGGTGTGGGGGTGGTGGTGGTGGTGGATCACAACAACTCTTTACGGCGTACATACCACCGATGTCGGTGATCTTGGTGGCGTTGGTGCAGCGTCGCGATGCTGAGGCACCCGGCCGTACAGGGCCGCGTGGTTCCGATTGACGAAATAATGGCGCTTGTACCCGGCACGTACACCACACACACAACACGTGCACTCAAGATTTGGGCGGCATGCACCGCCGCTGGATTGCAGTGACTGCAACGGCAAACCCTTCGCCTCAACACCACCACCCTGTGAGAGCAGACCTAGTTCATCATCAGCATCAATGACACCCAGTACCTCCAATCCAGAGATCTCACTGATGCCCTTGAAGTTGTTGCTCCAGGGGCACCAGGAGTTGCCACAATCTATTTATTGAAATGGTGCAGGTCAAGTGAGGTGCAGCATCTGAACTGGTTCTTGGCTGGTGGCTGAACGTGTGGGTAGCACCTGTTGGCATTGCTGGCACACCATTGTGATCCATTGGCGCTGTTGCACTGTGTGCACCTTGTGACGCCTGAGTGTCCGCAGTTGGTGCTGGATATGCTGGCAGTCATGTGTCTACACATGCCCTCTGATGCCTCATGATAGTGTGCATTGCATGAGTGGAGGGGGAATTGGACATCATGTTCCCCCCTTGTTGTGATGAAACAACTGAAGCGTTGCCCGCATGTTAATCTGTACGCCTCCTGAGAGAAGTGCAGTGGTGGCGCGTTTCGCCATGCTTGTTGCTGTTTGCAATGGTTCACCCTTTTATTTGTTCACAATAAAGGGGTGGAACATGTCCCAACAACCAAGAGGGTCCTGTCTATCTGTCGTCGTCGGATCCTTCAAAGCTGTACACTTCGCCTGCCCATTTGGCGAGATCGTGCCCCAATTCGTCCACTGTGACTCTGAGACTGGCCTTCTCGCTGCTCATGATCCCCGCCAATGTGGCTTAGTCCAGGTCTGAGATTGTCACGTCGCCATAGAGCACGTCGTGCATCAGCTGGTACTCGCGCTCGCAGGGTACGCTCACAAGGAAGTAGGCGGTGTACTGGTACCCGCGCATCATGGTCTTGAGGAAGAGCAGCGCGCGTGCCGCGAGTCTCAGCTTCGGCCTTGATTGCCTTGATCCTGAGTTTCAGCTCCGCGACGGGCTCGAGTACGACATTGGACTCTTCGCGCTTCCTGAGTCGATCCACGACGGCCGTGGTGTTCACACTCGTCGGCCCGATCGGCGTCGATATTACGCTCGAGTCTAGATGACGGCCTGGTCCGGCCTTCTTTGGCGAAATGTTGAAGAAAGCGAGATTGGCCAATGAACAGCCTGTGCCCATTTTCATTTTCGGACATGGCGGGATATAACTTGTCCAGTTTCCACCAATCCACAAATTGTCGGGGACCAGTGGCACTGAGACGGTTTTTTCACTTTGCAACCAACAACACTGGATGAGGATGATCAATAGGCAGCTGCTGGGCCTCCTCTTGGTTGCGACAACAATGTCGTTGCTGACCCTCCCCAGTGCGCAGGCAACCACCCGTACGTATTATCCACATTTTTATCATACACTGTGTTGCTGACATGAGAAGGGTTTGATTGTTGAAGGTGATGTGTGTCTTCGCGGGTGCGGCTACTCTACCATTAGCTCCGCACTTCTGGCTGCGAACTCTGGCGACGTGGTGCACATCCACAATGGGGCATACGCAAACGAACCACTTAACATCGACGTTTACAGCAACATCACCATCAGGTGCACACCTGTTCCACACAGGTCTCTTTTTTGTTCTGTTACCAGAGTTAAGCTTGTGTCTCTCTACACACCAGGACTGACGGTCAGGTTATTGTGAGCCCACAATCTGACGCCAGCACTAAACGGCTTGTGTGGTGGCTGGGTATTCTGGGCCACATCACGCTGGAGGGCGACCTGTCGTTCATGATTACACCATCGGGTTACCTCGCGCCAGTTGGGAGCTATTTGGGTGTTGTTACAGTTGGTCGAGGTGGTTCCTTCATCCAGCAAGGCAATCTTCTGTTCTCATTTAAAGGTTCGTGGCGTTGTATCTTGTTGGGCTTGTGTCCTGTACCTCACCTCAAGGTCTTGTTGTCACAGGCTCTCACTCATGCACTGCAATTGGTGTCCACGGGTATTGGAAGCAAAGTGGTTCACTCTCTGTTATGGGCACCTCGCAAGCTGGTATGCACCCGTTTTAACTGGTCACATGTGCCTGCTCATATCCACTCAACCATCTATATGGCTTTGTGAACAGGCATTTTTGTTGCTGGCTCATGGTACCTTGATGCAGACACCCAAGTAACTATGGACCTCCTTTTGCATTTGGTCATGCTCCGGGAACGTGACCATAGACATGGACGACACCTGCAACGCCATGGGCTGTTCGAGGAGCCCTGAGATTAAAGTTACTGGCCAGTTTTACGCGCGTGTGGGCAGTAAATGCTACACCCTTTCAGGTAAACCGCCGCCAACATCACTAGAGTGCTCACCGCCTTGTTCTTCGTCTCTCACAACTCTCTTTTAGACCAACAGAGCTGTCACACTCAAGAGACACCCTGTCTCCACAAGCCCCTTCCAGCAGCGCAGTGGATAAACGGCCAGCCCTAGACCGGTTGTGATCCTTTTATGGCTGAATACTTGTGCAACTCTTTGATGACCGGCACCGCCGCCGAAAATGATTTTACGATCACCCGAGCCATCGTACACGAGCTTGTTGAAGGCGCTCACGATCTTGCCATCGCAGTACAGCGATACTCCCCATAGTGCCATAGTACCCGGTCCCGTGGTGTTGGCGTTGCTGGTGTGTAGACACTCGCTGGCGGTGTTAACCGTACATTTGCTGTTGACGCCGTCGAAGGCCGACGAGGACTGCTTGCTCCCCTTTATCTTCTGCTCCGCTGCGGCGCCACTGGCGACGAGGCCGCCTCGGTTGTTTCCTCTTCCACCGACAGCAGACTTCTCTTGCGCCGGCCACCGCCGCGGTCCTCGCTGTTGGATCAAAACACGCGCGCTAAGCAACCAAGGCACATGACACGCACCACACCGACACATGACACACACGACACACGACACACACGACACACACGATACACGACACACACGACACACGCAATAGTACGCAAGACTTTGAAAGAGTGCGTACCTAGCTTCCTCGGGCTCTGGCGATTTTTCCAGTTCTTCTTCTTCTTCATCATCATCGCCCTCGCCATGGTAGTCGGCCTTGCGCTCCTTCTCCTTCGGCTGCTTGTCCTCGTTGGCCTTGGCCTCCTCGATCAGGCGCTCGAGCACGGGGTTGGCGCTTGTCATTGCGCCGACGGCAACACAGCGGAAGTATTGCCGTAGCGGTGAGCGGGCACGCTCACTTCCACCACATTGTAAAGCGCTCTATTGACGGACTTGCGGAAACCCGGTTTGAAACAACACACACACTACACACACACATGACACACACGACACACAGTCCATATATCAGCACCTGAAGGCAGAACAACGGTGTTGAAGTTGGCCACTCGGGAGGGAGTGACAGGAGGGAGCGGTACCGCCATCGGGCAATTCGTAGGTCCATTGCTTCATGACCACCTCTAGTATTTGCACGAGAACGGGCTGGCCCGCCGTTCATGAGTAGCGGATGCGACGTTCTGGTACCGCTAACGAGTTCCTTGTACTTCTTGGAGTACCACGGTATGAGACTGCACAGACAAGCCGAGAAGCAGTCCAGGTTCACAAATGACACACACACACACACGACACCGAAATAGTAAGGACAGCGGGCTTCAAGGCTCGAGGCTAAGAGGCCGTACGTATTGACCTTGCGAGGCATGTCGAGGCCGTTACAATACCACCGACGAAGGTGGATGAACAAGACTCGAGAGCCATCGGGGGATTGCCGAATGAGCGCGTGATGTTGTTTACGCGCAAGCGTGGCCGCGCAACACAATAAGTCATCGCACGACACACAACACACACACGACACACGACACACGACACACGACACACGACACACGACATGCACGACATGCACGACACACACACACACGCGGTACCTCGCTGGGCTGCTTGGGGCCTGGACCACGTCCGTACACTTCGGACGAATTCGATATCGAAACCCAGCAGCATTTGCGGCTGTCACATAGAGAAGCGAGTGAGCGAACGTTAGACCACTTTGATGCGCGAGCTTGAATCACTCCAGAGTGGGAAGGAGGATCACCAGTTGTGCGATGTGCCCGAACGAGTCCGGAATGTAGCCCACGAGCGAGGAGCCGCCCAGCGCCTCGGCCTTGCGAATGCCCAGCATGCGGTTCCTGACGAGCCCTTCGCCAGTTACCAGGAACTCGTCGGGTTGCACAAACCTGTTCTGCAAGGTGGCCAGATGGATCCTCTCCTTCATGTACGGTCTGATCTACCTCTAGTCGTCGGCTGGAATCTGTTCAGATCACACAGAGAAATACATTGCTTTTAATCAATATAATTTCACATTGATACCACCTACTACCGCAGCTTCTGCCTCAATGGGACGAAGACTATCGGGTTCTACTCCGGCTACAACGACACGGGCGAGGCCTTTTTGTTCTGTTCAGGCGACACCACCACTTGCCTGGCCTCCAACTCCTCCTGGACCTACTTTGGTGGCGTTCTGACGATGGAGGTCTCCAGCAAGGCCTGCCCTTTGCCTTCCTCGGCTTCGAGCCTTCGGTGGGGAAGCAGTTTCGTGGCCCTGGCCTGGGCCTGGCTGACTGGCCCTTCCGCCTGATTCTTCTTCTTCTTCACTCGACTTGGTCTTGGTCTTCCCAACAGACATTTTTGTTCGCCAAACACGGAAAGGGCCAAGGGCGCCACAGCATTTTCTTTTTCTCTTATTTTTTCCCTGAAGTGGGCAGCCACTTGGGCATGTGCGGTGGGCCCGCTCCGGTGGCCTCGGCTCTCGGAAATGTCGCCTGCCAGTGCAGGTACCAGCTCAGTCCACTTGAGACCTGTGGAAGCGAGCGTCGTGATGATCATTGTGGCCTCCACTGTCACCTCGCTTTCCTCGACTTCCCTCTCTCTTTCTCGTGGTTCCCGAACCACACTTGCTTCGCCGAGAGGCGTCGGCGTTACAAAAACTCGCCCTTCCTTCACATTTCGCCCTATTCTACCTTTCGCCCCGCTCTTTTCTTGCCGACGCGTCGCAAAGGTACCAAACGGGGCTAAACGGCGAAGATCAAACTCGCACCGGGGCGAACGGAAAATGCCGAACGCCAAATCACCGCATTTCGGCGTGAACGCCTCCCACATTCCAGGACGCGTGGTGTGCTGTTGGCGTTGTGGTTGAACGCACTAAAGCGGAGGCAAGCTCGACCACGTTACTGTCGCACACAACCGGCGCGAATTCTAATCTTGATTGGCGATCGGTTCGCGATTGATTGTGATTGATCGATTTGTGGACGAGAGGAAGCTTCGTGGCCAGCGAAGAATCAAACATGGGATTTCTGACAGATGGTAACACATTGAACTGGAGCGAGGTGCAGAAGTATTGCGATTATATTCGAAAGCACGGAATCAAGCAATTCCTGGCCATCTACGAGAAGACGAAGAACAGGTCGCACGATTGCCTAAAATTTGGCGATGAAATCGAGTACGTGCTCATCTCGCTCAACGACAAGGAGAAGAAGGTCAAGCTCTCCCTGCGCGCGGCCGAGATCCTCGATGAGCTCATGCGTGAGGAACTCGAGGGCAAGGGGTACGTTACTCCGCAATCAAGCATGGAGCAGCTTTTTGTCTTGCCTTGAGATTAATGCGCAAATTTTCTTCAGAACCGCTAAGACCCTGTGGCGCCCCGAGTATGCCCGCTACATGGTAGAAGGTAAGCGTCCATTCTCTTTTTTCAATTCATTGTTCTTTTTAAATGTTGTGTTGAATAAACAATTTTGATCAAAATGATGAAAGATTTTGGTCTCACCACGTCGTCACTACGCGTGGGTCCGCCCAGGCACGCCCGGCGCGCCCTACGGCGACTGCGTGACCGAGCTGCGGCGGGTGGAGCTCAACATGAAGCTGCGACGGCTGCACGTGCAGCACCAGCTGCTGCCCCACGAGCGCCTCCTCTCGCTGTCGGTGTTCCCGCTCATGGGCGTCGGTGCCTTCACCGACCCGGCCTACAGCCCGCAGGGCCCAGTGGCCCAGTCCCTCTTCACGCCCGACGAGGTCATCTTCCAACACAAGCGCTTTCCGTGCGTGCCCCACACCCTGCTCCGCTATTGGCGCTTCTTATTTACTACGTTTGCTTCTTCATTCTCTTTTCTCTCATTTTTTCTCTCCATGTTCTTATATAATTATTTTTAATTATTACACAGCATTCTTTTATTACTCCTTGGACAGACCATGTTCCAACAGTTGGAACCCAATAAATGTTTTTGTCTTTATTTATTTAAAATTATTATTATTATTATTATTCGGTTGGCTTACGGGCGATGTGTGGTACATGTTAGGACGTTGTCGCAGAACATCCGCGAGAGACGGGGCAGCAAGGTGTGCATCACGGTGCCCGTCTATAGGGATGAGCGCACCGTGCCGCCGCAGCCGACACCACCCACCGGAAACGAGGTGCCACCTTTTCCGCGCCTTTCGTTTTTTTTTCATTTTCTTTTTTTGCTTGTTTGTCTGTCTTGTCGTTACGATTGTCATTGTTGTTGTTGGTTTGTTTGGGTTTCCCCCATGCTGTTGCGAATAGTTATCTCACCACACCTCTTCTCCACGATCGCAGTGGGACATTTACATGGACAGCATGGCCTTCGGCATGGGCATGTGTTGTCTTCAGACCACCTTCCAGTGCGAGGACATAAACGTAACGCGCACACTCTCGCCGACACGACACGACCAACGACACGACACGACCGACACGACACGACACGAGCACACTTGCGCACATCATGTCGTCGCACACGCGTGTACTCACCCCGACCTACGACGAATGTTATCGGTGTGCGCACACACAGGAGGCGCGCAAATTCTACGATCAGCTGGCGATGATGTGCCCCATCATGCTCGCCCTCACGGCCGCGTCGCCCATCTACCGCGGCTACCTGTCGGACATCGACGTGCGATGGGGCGTCATCGCCGCCTCCGTCGACGACCGCACGCCGGAGGAGCGCGGCCTCCAGCCGCTCGAACACGACAAGTACCCTGACCCTTCATCACCCGTCAACACCTCGCCCGGAGACACTGACGTCGACTCTATTTTATTTATTTCCTCTGTGCCGTGTATTATCATTTATTTCTTTATATTCGTATGTTGTTATTTTTATTGTTATTTTGTTTATTGGTGCTCGTTAGGTTCGTGATCAAGAAGTCGCGCTACGATTCGATCGATTGCTTCATCGCCAACGACGAGGCGCTCAAGCCCGAGTACAACGACCTCGACCTGGTGTACGACCACGAGATTTACGCGCAGCTGCGCGAGGGCGGCATCGACGACCTGCTGGCGCGCCACCTGGCCCATCTCTTCATCCGCGACCCCCTGGTCGTCTACGACGTACGCACGCCTACTCAAATACTTATTCGTTTCTTCTTTAGTCATTTATTACTTATTACTTATTACTTATGTTATTGTGTCTTTTGTTTCTACAACTACAGGACAAGATCGAGCTGGATGACACGAAGCAGTCGGACCACTTTGAGAACATCCAGTCGACCAACTGGCAGACGGTGCGATTCAAGCCGCCGCCGCCCAACTCCGACATCGGGTGGCGCACGGAGTTCCGCCCCATGGAGGTGCAGCTCACCGACTTTGAGAACGCGGCCTTCGTCGTGTTCATGGTCCTCCTCACCCGCACCATCCGCTCCTTCAACGTCAACTTCTACATCCCCATCACCAAGGTACCATCATTAGATAATTACACTTATACTTATCATCATCATCATCATCATCTCTCTCTCTCTCTGTGTGTGTGTGTGTGTGTGGTTGTGTGATTTTCCATCGATCTCACGTTCGTGCTCTCTTCCAAAGGTCGACGAAAACATGCGGCGAGCGCACGACCGCGGAGCCGCGCTCAACCAGCGCTTCTACTTCCGAAAGGTCATTCACAAGGGTACGCGCCAGGCCAACGCACCGCACCGCACTCACACGGTTTGCGGGCGCTCACAAAACGACACGACACACGACACAGGCCAGGAGCAGAAGACGGTGCCAAAGGGCGAGCTGACGGGCTTTGCCGCGGCATACGACAGCGAGGCGGCGGCGGCGGAGGACAACACGCAGAACTACTACGAGGAGATGTCCATCAACCAGATCATCAACGGCGATGTACACGCGCCCCGCACCACACCACACCACACTATGTAACTTGATTGGCTGACGCGCGCCTGTGTCGTGTCATCTCCCAATGAGCAGGAGAACTTCGCTGGTTTGATGCCGCTGGTGCGGCAGTACGTGGCCTCCATCAATGTCGACCTTGAGACGAGAGTGGTCAT